ATCGTCAAAATAGCCGATACATGAACCCTGTCTACTCAACTAAAGAACTCATTAAATTCCATAAATACAACATCCTCCTCAAAAGCTCAAAAACTTCTCTCACCCCTCCCATCCCCAACCATATAGAGACTGCGCAATGCACGGTGACCCTGCTTGGGAAGGCCATGAAATGGAAGTGAGGTGAATTTTCCAAAGACAGGTGAGTAGGCGATTGAAGCTGCCATGTACCTCTTTTTGGTTCGCATATACTACAACTCATTGTTTCGAGATTTCCAGTTCATTTTCCATTTTCGTTTCAGTTATTATTGAACTTAATTTAGGGCAGCACACCACTAATGAGATATTCTTGTTCTATGCGGTTCCTTCACTGCTAAGGATTTTCTTCGACGGCATCGTGCTTTTCCAGTGCTACAGTCCTTTTCCAATGTCCGACGCTCCTTTGTACGAAAGACGATTTGCGTTTAGTGTACCAACACAAAGTCGAAGGTAAATTGTTTACATTTTGTTTACTTCACATAGCTGATTAAGAGGTTACCTATTAGATGGGTCTCTCCTATTAGATGGATCTAATGTTAGAAGCTTTGTTACACTTAATGGCATGAAAATTGTGGAAAAATATCGAAGGCCTCAACCCGTGATTCGCGGTCAGCATCTAATTTTAACAATTTGAAAAGCAGGAAAGGAGGGGGGTTGTGAAAGTTCTTGAAATCGGTGCTGTGGACAGTTGACGTTGCGCTTGAGTTGACCGTGGAGGAAGATCGCGGAACACAGAAACTAATTTTCTTCTTATTCCACCTGCAACTAACTAAGATTTTGATCATTACATCATGGTAATTAACACAGTCGTAAAATTCTACTGTTTTTTTTTTGGTGATTGGAAACAATTATCTAAAAAGAGAAGCGAACTCACGTTCAAGAATAGAAATCATATCCGGATCGACACCGCTGTCGTCAAGCGTCTGCCATGTCCGAAGAATGTGTGATGGTAGATTCAAAACTAAGTTCAATACTGATATAATGATCGAACGCATCACCATTGCTGTTTTTTTCTTCAGATGCATCTGACGCTTTTTTGTGAAGTGCTGGAAACGGAACAAGAAAATGTTAGTGCTTTTTTGATGCAAATGTCTCAAAAGAGAAATTGATGAGAAAATTGTACGAACATCTGGAGTTGTCACTGCCATAGATAAACCATTTTGACATGAAATCATATTTTGCCGTACATCAAACGACGTCTCGAAGTCCGGAGAACAGGAATATCTGGAAAATATTCGATTTTTCCCATATTTCTTATGCTTGCTGGCCTTATGTAATTCCGCGTCAGTTTTGGTCGAAAGTTTTACCAGTTTTTTTTTCGGATTTGGAAAGTTCTGAGGTTGTGTTCAAGAGTGCGTTTGGTATGTACCATGATGGTAATGATCAAAATTTAGTTAGTTCAGGTGGGCATAAGAAGAAAGAATTAGTTTCTGTGTTCCGCGATCTTCCTCCACGGTCAACTCAAGCGCAACGTCAACTGTCCACAGCACCGATTTCAAGAACTTTCACAACCCCCCTCCTTTCCTGCTTTTCAAATTGTTAAAATTAGATGCTGACCGCGAATCACGTTTGGAGCCTTCGATATTTTTCCACAATTTTCATGCCATTAAGTGTAAAAAGCTTCTAACATTAGATCCATCTAATAGGAGAGACCCATCTAATAGGTAACCTCTTAATCAGCTATGTGAAGTAAACAAAATGTAAACAATTTACCTTCGACTTTGTGTTGGTACACTAAACGCAAATCGTCTTTCGTACAAAGGAGCGTCGGACATTGGAAAAGGACTGTAGCACTGGAAAAGCACGATGCCGTCGAAGAAAATCCTTAGCAGTGAAGGAACCGCATAGAACAAGGCAATATCCATTAGGTGTGCTGCCTAAATTTAAGTTCAATAATACTGAAAACTGAAAATGGGAAAACTGGAAATCTCGAAACAATGAGTTGTAGTATATGCGAACCAAAAAGAGGTACATGGCAGCTTCAATCGCCTACTCACCTGTCTTTGGAAAATTCACCTCACTTCCATTTCATGGCCTTCCCAAGCAGGGTCAACCGTGCATTGCGCAGTCTCTATATGGTTGGGGATGGGAGGGGTGAGAGAAGTTTTTGAGCTTTTGAGGAGGATGTTGTATTTATGGAATTTAATGAGTTCTTAGTTGAGTAGACAGGGTTCATGTATCGGCTATTTTGACGATTTCGGCGAAAACTAAGGGAAAAAGCATGAAATGGAGAAAATTAGAGCACATTTGCCATTTATTCAACTATACAGGGGTGGCCAAAAAAAGAGACACTTAGCCCATGGCGCACATCATCGAACTTTTCGTCGCACAGGGAGCCGATGTTAATGAAAGTTTTACGGCGGAATATTCCTTAGGTGTTCCCCGTAAACAGAAGCAGGCCCTCCTTCACTGCCCCCACCGTCTTCAGAATATGACGTCATCTGCCGTCACCGTCGAGCTCAACGAGGCTTACCGTAATCGCTCCGGCCTGAAGCTGCTACATAATTTCTTCAATGGATTAACTGGTGAATAGCTTCCCAGAGACACTAGCTGTGACTATGCAAAACCGCTTTTGACCAGCGTTTCAGGACGTCGTAATGGTCTATGGTACCTCGACGACCTCGTTGAGCTCGTACCGTGAACCATGTTTCCGTGGGAAAATCTTCTGATGTCGTCGGTGTAGAAGGCTGTTGTGTACTTTTGATAGATTAGAATGTGCTCTTTAATATTCAGTTGGGGTCATTTGGTTTGGTTTCGCAACGCGTAAATAATTCCGTTTTGAATGTGGAGTGAAGTGTCTCTTTTTTTGGCCACCCCTGTATTTACCTCCTCTCTACCCTCCCCCGAAGATCACTATGGAGGAAAAAAAGGACGGAGTTGGAGCGTGTCGACTGGTCACAGACTTAAACACTACGTATAGAAATATGTAGCTATGATGGCATGAAGGTTAGGGTGATGGTCGGGGGTGGGGTAAAAAGAGTCTTCTGGAGGATTCTCTAAGGCTGATGGTGGTGCTGCAGAGGGATCGAGATCTTCACAAGAGGGGAGCAAATGTGACTGTTCAGGGGGGGGGGGCGTCAAATTTCTGGATCTAGAACATCGGTCGGGACATTGGCCTTGTTTCGAAGGTTGTCAGCTGTCGCTAAATGTAATTGCGTCAAAAATAATTGCACTAAGTATCATTTGATAACATTAACCCTTTGACGACAATGCGGATTTGCACGTAGCGTGCTCGTGGGACCACGCCTCTTTTTGGCGCGCCCAACTCTCGCACAAAATGGGGCAAAATTGTCCCTAAAAGCAGTTTTTCTATCAAAATTTTGACTATGACAATAAACAAAATATGACTGCAGTCTTAAGCTTTATGATCATGTATTGTTGGAATTAGAAGTGGAAGTTTGGAAAGAAATCTCGGATTTCAAAGGGATGGTGTTTGAAAACTCTAGAAGTTCAAATGTACAGTAGAATTTTTGATATAGTTCAAACTCCTCCTTGTGTCTTAAGACTGTGAAAAGACGTAGAGGTCCTGATCTGTAATTCACCTTAAGCTTAATAATGTAAAACACTAGTTAATACATCGCCGAGCGAAGTGCCATATCCTAAAATTTCATATAAATTAGCTAGTAACAAACATTTCTGCAAAATATGCTAAACATAGGCGTAACGGAGCTTGCTTATAATTACTGATATGTTGAAAATGTTTTAAATGGGTAAGAAAGAAAATCTGTCCCACTCGACGGTCATAGTGGCACCCACCGGAGGGTGCCATTGTTGCCAAAGGGTTAATAGTGTCGATCAAAATGAAGTAAAGAAACTGAAAAAAAAACCCTGGTCGCATCCCAAATTCGAACATGGCTTGCCTTTGATTTCATACTGTTTTACTGCTTGGGCTATTTTCCTCATACCACTCCCCCCCTTTTTACTGTAAGGGAGAGTAGAAAACATTCCATAGCATTAAACTGCCAGTTGATCGAAGAAAACAGTACGCATGTCTCACTGACCTTCACGTTGTGCTGAGATATGGTCGGCTTTTCGACGCATGCACGTCCATCCTCGCTATAAACGACGAAGAACAATATCCATGTTTCGAAAAGGAAACAAAAGCAGGCCAATGCTCTGAAATGCAAAGTTGCTCTTTCAGACGAAGAAGCGTTGGAAACCAACTCATAATTTATTTAAAGGACGAATTCACGATGAAAAAGCAACCCATTTCAAATTAACCTAGGGATGGTGAGTGGTACACGAAAGAAGGAAGAACCATGAGAAACGGCCCAGAACCCGAGAAATGGGACCCCTTCCTTGCCCGTTGATTTGAGCATTGATGCGACTCTCATCGCTGTGCCCTCTTCAACACTACGCTCTCTCAGCTATCTAATCACTCGCCACGTATAGACTGCGGCGAGTGATCAGATGATCGGTGGGCGAAGATC